ACCCATAGGCAATCTCCTAGGCAACTAGGTTTTCGCAAACTTTTCATCAAAACCTTTCCCAAAATATTTTCTTTTATTTTTTTCAAAAACAATTTTTCCATTTCAAATCAATTTTTTCCCCTTTTCATGCCCAATGTCATGCATGAACATCACATACTTTTCCAATATAATGACAATAAAAGATTTTATATTACACAATTCAACATACTTTTACATAGCAATTTCTAACAAATTAATAAGCACAAAATGTATGAAATTTAACACATTAGACATATTTTTCATACAAATCAATTAATACACATATTTAGAGATTTCGTATTACACAATTCAACATACTTTCACATAACAATTTCTAGCAAATTAATAAGCACCAAATGCATGGAATTTAACACTTTAGGCATGTTTTTTTCACACAACAATAACAATACACATAATTATAATTTTCATATACAACAATTGAACCATATTAAAGAAATTCAACACAATTATAGCATGCTAGACAACAACACATGGAAAATAATTCACTAAAATCCAAGAAGTTATGGATTAAACACCCATATCTCAATTTTGTAGAAAACCCTCAAATAGGTCCAAATTTTTGGAATTCTTAGAGTGGCCAAAAACTAAAATTGTTTATATTGATGTGTAGATCTCAACAAGCTCTCCGTTTTGCCGCAAACGGCACCCAAAAATTTCTAGTGTTTAGATATTAATCAAGAGTTGAAGTTTATATAGAAAAAGAAAAAGAAAAATGGGAGAAGAATGAGAGGGAGAGGAAAATGAGGTCTGTAAAGTGACCCTGGGCCATTTTGATGACTAAAGGTGTATGTGGGTTCCATCACTTTTAATTAACTTTTTCTTTTATTTTCTTTTTAATTTTTTCCACCACAAAATTATATACATACATACAACCATATAAAACCCACATAAACACATTAAATAAAATATATAAGATACAAATGGATCCAACTAAAATCTCCGTATGTAACAATTTCGGTAGCGAGTCCCACACGGGATCGTTGGGCCCGAAAAATAAAAAAATACAAAAATAACAACTTTTGCATTTCAAAGAATCCTGAACTCAATGAAATACCCCAAATAACTTTCTGACACACCCGGCACACCCCATGGTGTCTGACACGCAACACGTGAAAAGACAAAAATGCCTTTGCGAAAACATTAAATTCCAAAAAAAAAAAAAAAAGAATGGCAAAAATCGAAAATAGTACATAGACCACTTAATTAACATGTATATAAACATGCTTAGATGTTTAATTTGTTTGTAAATATGCTATAAATATGCTATTGAGCCGAGTTCGAACAGGCCTCTACTCTACTTGGCTCGTTTGTAGCATATTTGATGTGTATGTGGGATGATAGAGTCCATCATGTATCCCATGGTAGATTATGAAGTACGCTAATAAGTCCGAATTCACCGAATTCACCATTGTCCGCACAAAAATAAATAAATCAACTTTAAGACTAGAAAAATCAAGTTCCTAACAAGGCACCTTCCTGGAAACAGAGCTATCAATTATTTAAAACCCAAGGACACGAAATGGTAGCAGCACTCTCCCAAAGTGTACAAGATTTTGGAGCAAAGAAGAGATAATGACCCGTCTTGACTTGACTAATACTTCATAAAGCTAATGCTGACTGAAGATGCCATATTTACTATTGAAAAAGCTTGGGTTGTATCTAGCAGTTCATGAAACTCCATTGCTTACAACTGCAGAGACAGAGTTAGTCAAATACGGTATGGACAAAAAATAGAAACAAAACCTATTAGTATAATTCGATTCTTTTTGAAAAATACGTTTTAAAAATTCGGCTAAAAAAAAAAAAAGCAGAAGGCATGAATTAAAAATCCGGGTCCAAAAATTCGGCTATATATACACAAATTATTTATTTATTTATGTGTCATATCATTGTAAGGACATTAAAAGAAAATGTAACAAATAATAAAATAAATAAGAAAATGTTTGAAATAATAAAATGAATTTTCATTTTATACAAATTCACACTATCACATTAACTATGAAAAAATAACTTAATTAAATATAATTAATCAATAACTATGACATCATAAATTCATCACAAATCAATTTAAAAAATTATAATTCAAATAATCAACTATTTTTAATTAAAAATAAATAAAAATTTACTTATTTCCCCATCTTTTCTTGATAACCTATAAATGCATAAGTATAATTTATAATTTATTAAAATTAAAATTTTAAGTTAAATTAGACTAAAATATCACATAATGCATTTATAGATATGGTTAAATCCTAAAAGTGTTCTCGGCTCGTTTTATCACTAAATGGTGTATAAACTCTCTTTTTTTTTTTCGTCAAATCAAAGGTCTATAAACTTCCAAAAACAAAATAGGAATGACAAGTTAAATCCTAAAAGTGATATATATATATATATATATATATGATAGAGTTTTCAATTAATTCAGACCTTGCAAACTATTACTATTCATTTGATTACCATATAGGATGGAAAACAACAATTAGGAGTAGAAGTCAAGTTAATTCAATCTCTACCACTAATCAAGTTATTGTTGCAAATGACAAGTTATTGTCGACTTGAAAGTCTTTTATTTTCCCATTAATTCTACCTAACCAAACAGAGCCAAAGGAATCATCAAAATAGAATAAGTGCAATATTGGACTGCAGCCCCTTCCAAAAGAGAGACAATAGGTTAAGTTAGTCCGATGACTTTGATGAGATGAGTATTTATTTAGTTTTTAGGCCCATTTTATTATAGATATGATCATGAATCAGCTTTGTAAATATATATAATTACGTAGGGATATGTACACACACTATATATGATTTTTAGGCCCAATTTATTTTAACTTCAACGTTTTGGTCTATTTAAATATAGCAACCCAACCCAAATAGCTTCATTCACTTTAAAAGCCCAATAGTTCAAGCCCATCCTTCATATCATCTAACATTTTCATCCCTTGCAACAAAAATTAGCCATATCCAAGTGGTCAAGCTTCCATCCGACGGTCGGAGAACTACCCAAGGACTACGTTCCGTCAATGCTGAAGCCTGAAAGTTAGCTCTCTGTCTCACACTCGGCTGATTTCAAGTATCTAAACTCATCCCTCTCATTTCTCTCATATTGTGTTGATGGTCGACCAGAAACTCTGCAAGTGCCTTATAATGGAAACAAATAAAGGAAATCGGAGATCGATAGTGATGATCGAGATCACAATTCACTTAAACGATTAGGTACGAGCATGTATATAAATATGCTTAGATGTTTAATTTGTTTGTAAATTTCTGTATGTAAATGTGCGATTCTAAAGAGTTTCGAGCGAAGTTGGAAATGCTAGTGGATGGTGCCAAATTGAGTTCGTAGGATCTCAGGTCGAGTTCGACCACTTGCTATACTACCGAGCTGAGCTCAAACAGGCCTCACCTTTACTCGGCTCGGCTCGTTTTGTTTGTACTTTATAACATATTTGATGCGTATGTGGGACGAGAGAGTCCATCATGTATTCATGGTAGATTATGAAATATGCTAATAAGTCCGAAACCACAATTGTCCGCGGAAAATTAAATAAACCAACTTTAAGACTAGAAAAATCAAGTCCCTAACAAAGCACCTTCCTGGAAACAGAACTATTAATTATTTAAACCTTAGACCATCTCCAATGCTAAAAGTCATTTTCACATGCTAAATTTATATTTTGACAGGTGTGTCAAAATGCTACATTTTACCAATTCTGCTCCAATAGTGCATTTCATGCAAAATGCTATTTTTTGACACAACCACCATTATTTTTCAACTATCATTCCCACCATTCATATTTGCATCAGTAATATTAATATTAGGCACATTCAAAATTAAGTTGTAGACATTAGAAGAAAACTAAAATTAAACCTATTTAGGGAAAAAAAAAAATTAAACCTAATTAAAAGGAAACAAAAATCTAAAATATCTTGTAAAAAAAGGACCAAAAAAAAAAAAAAAACAAAAGAAAAAAAGAGAGGCCCATGACCCATATAATTAACTATATAATTTATATATATTTAACTGTATAATTTATAGACCCATGACCTAGGAAAAAATATACTATATATTTAGGGCAAATCATTTCAGCCTCCCCAATCGCCTCCATCTCTATTCTCGTTCTCACTGAACTTGCCCCCTCTCTCGGCCATATGATTTCAGATTGTTCAAAAAATCAAAACCCATATCTTTCCGTTTCCACCGCCCGTTGTTCCAATTCGGGTTCGCCCTTCACAAGCTTCAGCTGCTGTCTCTCAACTCTCAAGCTTGCCCCCCTCTCTCTGCAATTGCTAACTTGTATGTATGGGTTTTGTTTTAATTTTTTTTTTCTGTAATTCTATTTTTATGATTAAGGTCTGTAATTCTTTTTTTTTTTTTTTTTTTTTTTTTTTTGCCATCAAGGTCTGTAATTCTTGTTTTGCAAACTAAATCCTATTTGGTGAAATTTTTTATGATCTTTTTAAAATATTTTGTATATATATATATATATATCTTAAATCCTCTTTCTCTCTCTCTCTGAAATAGCTACTGCTATTTCTTGTGCTACAATTAGCATCAATTTTGGCAAAGTTAAAATTTGGCAGATAATATAACATTGCATTGGAGAGCTCCTTTAAAAACCCACTTGCTATATTTTAGAAATAGCATGCAATATAGCATTGCATTGGAGATGTTCTAAGCACACGAAATGGCACCACTACAAGAAAGAAGGCTTTTTACGACTTGTAATTGACATGCTTAAAAAGTAAGTCTTTATAAGTATTAATTTAACATTTATTTTTAAAGTAAGTCGTTAAATATTAAAACACACTTATATTTACGACTTACACTAGTTTGTCCATGTAACTATTTTTTAAAGGCTTGTATTCTTTACTATAACGACTTATTTTTTATATAGTAAAAAGTAGACCAAAAATTCTTTAAAACTCTAAAGGAAAAAAAACCTTTTGCCGCGCTAAGCCCACTAATGCATGATCTGGCCTACATTCGTTGCACGTTTCCTCTTCTTCATTCTAAAGCCTTTTTCTTTTTATTTTTCTTCTCTTCTCTCTTTCACCTTCGTGCCTCCATCTCTTCTCTCTCTGAAAAAACCCTAGCCTCTCTCTCTATCTCTATCTGTCTGTGTCTCACGCCGAGGCACCGCCACCATCAACCCACATCCTCACACCATCACCAAGCCCTTACTCTCTGTTCGAACCCCCTCTGCCGCAAGCTTCTCCGGCCCAACCTCTTGGCAGCCGCCGCTGCTCTCTCCTCTCTTCTAGGTCTCACTTTCTCTGGCTAATTCTCGGTCAAGGAGAAACCACATCTCGCCGCCGGCCACCACAGTTCCAGTTCCGGTCGTCTTCTCTAGCCAAAAATTTCAGGCCGAGTCTCTCTCTCTCGGTTTTCTCATCTTTCTATCGGGTAAGCTCTCTTCAACCTGAAATTTGATTTTTGGACTTTGATTTTGGAATGGGAATTTAGAATTTCCGGTTGTGTTTATTAGGGCTGTGAATGTATAAGTCCGTGATGTGAAAAAGGAGGATGGGCTATGGTAATGGAGAATGGACTAAAAAAAATTCTGTGAAAGGCTTGTCCCTGACTTTTGAAATTGAGGTTGACGATGAATTGAATTGGAAATTCTAAATGGAATTGAATTGAATTGCAACTTCTTGGGCCTTTAAATTTCAGATTATATATATATGGCCTTGTGTTGTATCAAAAATTCTGGACTGTACTTGAATTCATAAAAACAGTGAGATGATTTTGATATAAATATATCTCTGTGACTATGTTTTTGAAGTGAAATGAGGCTGTGAAATTTAAACTGAAATGATGTATATTTCTTGTTGCCATGTTGAAAATTCTATGAAGCTTGAGACTATGTTTTGATATATACCCATGCATTGTTTTATGTTGAATGGTCATTGGGGCTGAGGTTTTGAAACTGCTTGATATACATGTGTCCATTTATGTGTTTACAAAGCTTTTGGAAAATTGTGAATGGGCTACAATATATTGAATTTTCTGGTTAGAGCTATAATTGTAACTGAAATGGGTTATCTTGATTTTTCTGTTAAAACTCATATATAAGAGAATTGATGAAGCTTTGTATTTCAATTCTTCAGCGACTCCTCCCTAATCTAGCGACTCATCCCTAATCTATACAATCATTGAATGCTACCAGGCAGAGTATTGGTTTTTGACGAAGCTGTAACTGCCTAACAATGTCTTCGAGTCTTTGTGAGTTTTATTTGCTTTCTACTTTTTCAGTTTTGATTTTGTGAGTTAGATTATGAGATAATTGCATCTGATGGTGAGATTTAGGAGTTATTAGGGTTTACCATCAATCAATTTCACTTATTGTTCAGTGAGTTTAAGAGTGCAGAATCATTCTCAGTCTCAGATATTTGAGTTACTGTGCATATTTGAGAGGGATTGTAGTTCTCCGCATACTCCATATACTTCCTTTTTAGGGCATTTATTTTAATAATGCCTAAGATCCTATTTGATATCCTTAATTTCAAGGAACTATATATATCAAAACTGCTTGGATTCAGAAGCCCAGTTAATTATATTGTGTGAATATGAATACAAAAAATGAAATTATTGGCACTACTCCATTCCTATGACTGAGGCTTGAAACTCCACTCAACTCTACTTGCTTTCTCTCTCTCATTTCTCATTTTGGACAATCTTACAGAAGTCACATCAGTGATAAAGAACTTTATTTTCGTGCTTGATTAATGCCTTTCTATTATTACATCTTCCTGGATAGTGTTAAAAATTATTGGAAAAATGGTGCATAAAAAATGATTTTTTTGCTTACCTATGGTCTGTTGGCTGTAATATATTGACCTGATATTCACTGCTTATCAATGATGCCAGGTTCCTGTAATAGTAGTACTGAGTCAATTAGTTTTTTTTTTAGTTTGTTACTCTGTGGTAGATAATTAGTGAGATATAATCCTTCTTCCCTAGCTAACGTATTGTGCTTTGGGTTAATTGTGTGTGAGAAAATTTTGTTATGTACAATATCATAGCTTGTATTGACTTTTACTTGTTGAAACTTCAATAACGATCCCATAGTTCTTCTATTAGTGAATTATATTTTGTTATTGCAATATTGATATTGTTTTTTAACTGAATTAAATATAATCAGAACACAGATTTCCAAAAGACAATCTATCCTTCCAAATTAATATCAATGGCTTTATCTCCAAGTTCTTCGTCTAACAGGGTGGATAGTACATCATAAAGGACAACAATGAACCGTCATGGTTTTTTATCAAAGCTGGAATTGAGTGATGGCAATAGCCTGTATGCAAATTAATGAGTGAGGATGATTTTGTGAAATCTGTAAATATTGCTTTGGATTATGGACATGGCCCTCATCCTCAGTCTCGGTTATTTGGTGGTGGAGACCTATTTTCTTGGCTTAAAGCATGTAATACCCCTAAATTTAAAAGGATAGTCTCGATATTATTTTAATTATTTTAATTGCAGTTTTAATTGTTTATTTGATTTCTTGGCTAATTATTTCCTTGTTTAATTGATTTGATTGTTTATGTGTTAATTGAATTATTTGTTTAAATTAAATTGTATGAGATGGTCTGTATTTATTTAGGAATTTAATTATTTTATTTTAGTTTATTTTTGTTTTTATTTTATTTTTTTTCTTAAGGAATTGGATATGGATAGTAGTAATGGACCAACCAATTGGGTCTCATGAACTACTTGGTTAAGGAGTTTAAGGGGTATGGATAATTACCCATGAAAAGTTGTATAAGTGTATATAATAAATAAATAAATATATATATGTAACATATATTTCAGTTACCTTTTTAATATTTTAATATTTATTATTTTCTCTGTTAAGTTGACTTGGATTAGGAAAATGATTACGTTATTTTATTTAGGCTATAAATATATAACTATAGGGTTATAAAAGGGGCTAAGAAAATAATCACGTAATATATTTTAGAGAAAGAAAGAAGGAAGAAGAAGGAATAGGAAAAGGAAGAAGGAGGTTAGGGTTTTTTTTATCAAATCCCTAAAGACAAGTTTTAATTCTTCTCTTCTCTTTTGATTCATACCCTATGCATGCTAGATTAATTTTAGGTTCTTCAAATAAATTAATTGAATCTAATTACATGGATTTATTTGGAAATTTCAGTTCATGTGTTTTAATATTAGGTTTGGGATAATTTTCATATTTTGATAAATTAAACTTTCATGTGTTGTAATATATTTTGTGTTTTAATCATGTGTTGTAATATATTATGGGTTTTAGCATGAAACAGTTTGATTAGATGAAATCAGATTTATTTTTCCTTCATGCACGCAGAACGAGGAATTTCTTTTAGCATTAGCATGAATCAAATTGGCATGCACCAGTTATATATATATATATATATACACGAAATCTGTGTGGTTCCTTGTATACACGCCGAACGAGGTCAACTATATATGTTTTCATTAATCAGTTTATGAATGAAGTATATAAGAATTCAAAACTAAATTTTATTTGTAAATTTGGCACGCCGAACAAGGAAGTAACCATCAGTTTTGGTCACTTTTGCATTCTAGAATTCTACGCATTAATTGTAAGCAACAATCTGTTTGTAGCAAGATATGACTTTAACATAAACTAGTTTATAATATAATTATAATTGAAATTTGTTTTATTCATAAAGTGTACACGCAGAACGAAATTTGTATAAAGTATAAGTCAGTTTGATACAATAGTATTGGTTTTGCATTAAATAAGTTGTATGTGAATCTGATTAATGCAAGAATATTAAATTAATATTAGTATTGTTGATTGATGGATCTGAATTAAATATTTATTTAATTTAATTAGATTCATTAAGAATTAGAATGCATGATTTAAGTTTTCATGCTAAGTATGGAATGTAATTAATTTTAAAAGAATAAATTAATTAGATATTGTTGGATTATATTATTTTAATCAATTGTTTAGATTTAAATTAGTTTAATTCGAACATGGTGATGTACAATTTAGCTGAGATGCATTTTAATGTTCTATGATGTAAATTAAATGCATGCTATTTAGAATTTATATTTTTGCTCAAGTAAATACAAAGGATGTGTATATGATTTGTATCATATTTATTTGGATTATTATATGTAAACATTACTGACATTTTCCTTGGATGGGGGCATAGTAGGGACGGATTAACGTAAGAGTTAAGTCCTACCTATTTTTAATAAGGGAACGGATTAACCACAGTATTAAGTTCTACTTATTCGTGTCAGGTCAACGGAATAGTTGGATGACATATTATTAAAATAATATTTGGATAGGTTATTTTGATGGTTGGATAGAACGGATTTTACATATATAATTATACGCCATGATATGAGCTTGAGTCTCAGGATCAGTGGTTAAGGTGCGTATATTGCCAGGGATGTGTAGCTAGATATAGTGTAGTTGTGTACCTTAGTAGGTCTAGGTACTCATGCCCATTATCTGTGTGTTTTACATGTTGCCTACTATTCAGGTTGAGACAACTCTATAGTCCAGTGAGGTTCCTTTAGTGTGTATATATCTATTTATGGACTATTTAGTTATTATTGAATTAACTAGGATGTATACGTGTATCGGGTCTCTATTTGGGATGTAGTAAATTAAGACTTTTATGTGGGCCTGACCCACCATTATTTTTCAGGTGTTCGTCAGTTCCAGTCTTAGAGATTGTTCGTGCCGAGCAGAGACAGTCATTCATTCTTCCGACTCTACGTATGACTCTTCTTCATGGTTTCATTATTAGTTTTTTTTTTCAGTTCAGTTATTTCAGTTAGAATATTAGGGGTCCACAATATGGATTCTCGAGTTGTAGTTTAATTAATTACTAGTATCCGAGGATTGGAGGATTTTATTATTGGATTTTTTAATTATTATTTATTTGAGGATTTTAAAATAGGGATTTATTATTTAATTCCCTTCAGCTTATTATTTATTTATTATTCTTTTTGTATTCAAATGCTTGTTTAAATATTAATTGTTTGATATCCCTTATATTCTGTGCTCGGACTTGATCACCCGTGGCTCTAGAATCGAGGGGTATCACAGAGCAGATGTGACATCATCAGCCAGTGAGTGTTTTGAAGTTCCACCAAAAGTGGTCAAGTTGGTTTCAGGAAGAATGGTGTTTCCATTATCTTTATCACATTCAAATCACTATGCATCAATGCGTGCAGTTCTTATTGGTGATTCAGTGCACGCTGTTCATCCCTTGGCTGGTTAAGGAGTGAATTTGGGCTTTGGGGATGCTTTTGCTCTATCAAAAGTGATTGCTGAGGGTGTTGCAGTAGGATCCAACATTGAGGAGGTATGTTATTTGCATTTCTCTTAGAATAAATAAGAGACTTAATTATCAAGCACATAAAAATTGATTCTTGTTGTTTTTCCAGCCTTCCATTGAAATTTGTTATTCCATCTTGTTATTCTCTGTTGCTTCTTGCAACAGTATTACTGTAATATCTGAACATGTAAAATACGCTTGGACTTAAATGATAGGATATCAATGTTTTAAAATTGATGTTTGGACCTCAAGTGTGTGTGTGAGTGGATTAAACTCTTGACATTCATATGAACCTCAAGAAGCAAATTTAGTCTGAAACGTGTAAAAGAACTTATTAGAATTGAAACAAAAAAGAACATTTAAGACATGAACTTTCATGAATGTAAGGCCAACAAAATTTTTAAGACAGTATTAAGTCAAAATATAAATATTTAAAATTATGTAAATATGTATATATACCATCTGAAATTTCAAGTGAAACATGATAATTCTGCTTGCTGATGTTTTTCACATATATCAAATAGATCCTTGAGTAATAGATTTATTAGAACAGAAGTATAGGAATGTATAAAGGAGAAATCACCTTTATAATTTAGTAGTTGGGAAAGAAAGAGATTGAATAGTCATCAATAGCCTTTCCCCTAGTTTTTTCTTACAAACCTCATATCAACTATGGTGAAATTATGAACAAGTTTGTTGTTTGTTTAGCATTATGTTTCATTCTACATGGCTGGGCTTATTGTTGGCTTACAAATTTCTTAAATACCATCTACTATCCATCTAAATAGTTGGTAAGGAAAAAATTTTTTTTTACTTTTCATCTCTTGTCAAATATGTGCTTATTGACCAAAATGAACCTTTTCTAGCTTCGTTTCCTTCGCCTTTTCCTCCCCCCTACTTCTTTAAGGCTTTTTAATATTTTCGTTATGTGACACAATTAAATTACTAAACTTGATATTTTTTTTATATTACAGAATGTGATTGAAGGATCGATTGTTACCGTCAAAATATTGTACGAACAAGGAGGAGCTAATATATATTCAAAATTGATGGTTATATTCTTATTTTGCAAAAGATTGATTGTTTCTTTTCGAATTTAGTGGTTTAGTTTTTATTCCTTGTTGACGTCATCATATTGGATGATTCGGAACTTTTTTAGTATTCATAGTGGCTTTAATTTTTTTTTTTTTTTTTTGATGCAGTACTAGACTTATGTTTTTGGTTTAAGAAAAAGTAATGGATTTTTGTTATTCTTATTAATACATGTTATGTTGTATGTGGTTATATCACACAATGTGCGCCTTATTTTTTCAAATTGAAGACATGTATCATTTGTCATATTGAAAACAGGCGCAAAACAGATTGTTAATTCCATTAGAAAGAAAAGGGATTCTATATAAATTTTTTTTATAAAAAAAACCCCTTTCGACGACATACGATGCATGCTATTAAAATAAAAATATTAGCGAGTCGTTAAAAGGGTAAACACAAACATAACATGCTTCGTGTGTCGTTAGTGCATGCACAGATGACTTTAAAATCACGGTTTTAAAGAAGTGTTTTGTAGTTTAACGACGTCACATTTTAGTATTAACGGCTTGTAAAGTACACCATGAATAATATAGACTTTTCACGGCTTGTTCAGTAAGAACATGCGCATGCATGTCGTGAAAACCCTATAATGACTTGCATCGCATGTTGTTAAAAGCCTTTTTCCTTGTAGTGCACTCTCCCAAAGTCTCCAAGATTTTGGAGCAAAGAAGACATAATGACCCTTCATGACTTGACTAATACTTCATAAAGCCAATGCTAATGAAGCAAAAACGATGTTGCTGCGAACCTTGGCTTCGAACGTTACAATCTGATTAATAGATACTAGGGGCTTTAGAAATCAACAAGTCTTGCCCTATAAGTTTATAAATTCTTGTTTGGAGTACACATACGTTTCCATCTTCAACATTTCCATTCTCCACTAAGCTATTTTGCATACAAGAAGTCATGGGAATACTCACTCTCGTGGTTTTATACAAATTGACACTATCACATTAACTATGAAAGAAATAAATTAATTAAATATAATTAAGTATGATATCATAAATTCATCACAAATTAATAAAAAAAATTATAATTCAAATAATCAACTGTTTTTATCTATAAATAAATAAAAATTTATTTATTTCCCCATCTTTTCTTGATAACTTATAAATGCATAAATATAATTTATTAAAATTAAAATTTTAAATTAAATTAGACTAAAATATCACATAATGCATTTATAGACATAGTTAAATCCTAAAAGTGTTATCGACTCGTTTTATCACTAAATGGTGTATAAACTCTCTCTTTTTTTTGTTAAATCAAAGGTCTATAAATTTTCAAAAACAAAACAAAATAAATATCTATAAATATTTATCATTACAAACAAAATTTAAAAGATCATTAAAAAAATAAAAATAAAAATAAAAAAAATCCATAAAGATCTATAAGAATCTGTATTTCACAAAGTGTGTGTATATATATATTTCATTACTTAATTATGATGACTTCATTCAGAAGAGAGAGACGAATATGCTCTTTCACCAAAGAGGAAAGAAGAATCTTCCAAGCGGAAAGATATTGAGTTTAGTATAAAAAAAAAAAAATTATATTTGAGAAAAATATAGAATTAAAATTGTATTAAGAAACCAAAACCGTTGAGTTGGTGACGACACATATCAATTCATTCATGTTGGTAGGTTGATGCCGCAACGTATTAACGCATTTAAAATCGTTTAATTTGTGTTAGTGGTAAAATTGACATATTTTACGGTATTATTGAAATTTGAACAACAAACAAAAATATTTCACAAAAATAAAAATTTGTACTTACACATATCAGCGGATTTACTATCTAGATGCAGATAATACATAGGCATATAGGCTTTCATGAAATTGACAAGCTATGACTTTGTGGCACTAAAAGCCTCATGTCATAATCCAGTAATTTCTTGGTAAGTCTGAAATAAATGTAAAGCCATAACTTCAAAAATAAATAAATAGTTGCTTCAATAATCTTATAACACAATATATCCAATTCCATTCAAAACATATAGGTCACGTTTGGCTAATAGTTGTGCTTCGTCTTTTTGTGTTTTGCTAATATATTGTAGTGAAATAAAATATTGTAACGTTTTGTTGTCATTTGAATAGTATCGAAGTGCTTTCAAATTTGAGGCCAAAATCGAAAGTATAAAAATGATACTTTTGTTGGTTTCCGCATTGTAACAAAGCACTGCTAATTTTTTTCTTTTCTTTTCTAAAATGACATTCTTAACTAGTCATTTAATTTTTTCAAACGTGCAACACATTTTACCAAATATACTTTTATATTTTTTACTTTTCAAAATCTTATAACAAATTTACGTTACCAAATAAACTTTAAAATAGTATTAAACACACGAATATTATTTCAGTTTTGGATCAAAACAAAAATATGAAGTAAAAATAGTGACCAAACAGACGCATAGGCTTTCATGGCATGACTTTAATAGTGGCAGACCCATTAACACAGAGAGACCTCACAGCAGTACAGAACGCACCTAAACTAATGTGGCTCTTAATTAAGAAGAAAAAAATGGCTATTATTTAGCTAGAGAGAGGAATCAGACTTTGAGTCACTTGACAAGGCATCTCAGTTCACAAGTCAATGCCGTGTCACAGTGGGTTGAAGGACCATAAAGACAAATTGATGTGAAACACACGTAGAACTGCGTCAAGAATTTCTAAGCTAAAAAAAAAAATATTAAAGTTAATAATAATAATTTACTCGTCGATATATTCCACCGAATAACTTAGACATTTGTCAAATATTAAAAAAAATATGTTACCTGAAAAAAAATATTATTTAAAATAAAATATTTTATGTCAAAGCAGACGGATTATTAATATAAAATAATTTGTTCAAAATTAATGAGTAAATTATTTTTAAAAAATATTTATAAATATTTTACCACAAGCAATATTAAAAAATAAAAAAATATCTTTTGAATTGGTTACTCTGATAGGATGAATCTCACAACGTGAAAAAAATAAAAAATAAAAAAATTCGACTGTTCAGAAGTATTTACCCAAAAGAGAAAAATGAAAGTTTTAAAAAGAAATTTATGTCCTGCATTGTACATACGGCCCCATAGTTCCAAGTAACCCATAATATAAAATAAATAAATAAAAAACTTAAAATTTAAAAATTACTAAACACGTCCTACATCAATTTTTTTTCTTCATTTTTCAAAGTACCTTAAATAAAATAAATTTTGGTTAAAAAACTCTTCCAAACAGGGCCAACATAATTAAGCTATATACTAGCTAGCTAGCAATAGAGTAGAATAGTTGCACGCAATGGAATTAATGTTGCTCTTAATTAAGCAGAAGAAATGGGCATTTCATGACTTGACTCAAAAGACCTCACAAGTCAATGCCGTGTGTACAGGTGAAGAATCACAAAGACGAATTGATGCGAACCTCTCTCTATCCGCTTTTAATTAAGTTGACAATCATTGTGTGAAACTGCATTTCTATGCTTGCTTGCAAGAAGCAATGGAAACACAAGTTAGAAGTGGTGTTGTGATATTGTTCGTATTTGCTCTTTTTTTCATAGAATTGGGAGTTGGTGTTGGGTTGCAAATCAGTAGAGTTGGTCATCAATCAAATGTAAGCTGCACAGAGGGTGAGCTTAAAGCTCTTCTCAAGTTGAGGGAATCTCTCATTGATCATTCAAATCGTTTGTCGTCGTGGGTTGGAGAATACTGTTGTACGTGGACGGGAGTGGGCTGCAGCAAGAGGACACGCAGAGTCGTCAAGCTTGATCTACCCAATTATGATGGAGCCAGTTTGCAAGGTGAGATAAGTCCTTCTATTCTCAATCTGAGGCATTTGCATTACATCGACTTGAGCTTTAATCATTTTTCAGGAACCCAAATTCCAGAATTCCTAGGCTCCCTTAAGAACCTAAGATATCTTGACCTCTCTGGTTCGAATTTTGAGGGGCAAATTCCCCCCCAATTTGGAAACCTCTCCAACTTGCAACATCTCAATCTTGGCTTCAACAATTTACGAGGTCCAATTCCTGATACTCTTGGAAGCCTGTTATCTCTCACTTTTCTTGATCTCTCGTTGAATAGTTTTGACTCCCAAATTATGCCTAGTTGGTTGTGTAAAATGAGCAGCCTTGTTCATTTGGGACTCTCTGATGTAAGTTACGGAGGTCCAATTCTTCCTTGCCTTTGCAACTTGACTTCTCTCACAGTCCTTGATCTCTCTTGGAATAGTTTTCAAGGTTCAGTCCCAAGTGAGATAGGCAATCTTACACAACTTACTGTCCTTGACCTCTCTCACAACAAGTTAGAAGGTGAAATACCAAACACCATAAGGAATCTCTGCAGCTTGCACAGTTTCAATTTGTCTTCTAACGAGTTCACCGGAGAGGTACCATTTTTTCAGGGAAATAAATCTACTTGCCTCCAAAAAAGTTTAAAGGAGTTATATCTTTATTCAAACAAGTTTAGTGGTTTTCTGCCAAATCAGTTGGGAGAGTTTAAGATGCTAGAGGAGTTAGATGTCTCTAATAATTTATTTAGTGGTCCAATCCCAGCATCAATTGGAAGACTGTCATCATTAAGGTTTTATATGCATCTGGTAATCAGTTGAATGGGAGCATTCCTTCGAGTCTTGGACAACTTTCAAGGCTAGAGTCGTTAGATGTCTCTAACAATTCTTTGGATGGTATCATTTCAGAACTTCACTTTGCCAAACTCACAAGGTTAGTATGGTTGGACATGTCCTCAAACTTGTTAATTATGAATGTGAGCATCCAATGGGTTCCTCCTTTTCAACTCCAATCTATTCAATTGTCTTCCTGCATATTGGGACCCCAATTTCCTCCATGGCTTCAAACCCAGAAACATGTTGAATGGTTGCGAATTTCCAATGCATATATCTCAGATACCATCCCCGACTGGTTTGAGAATGTGTATTCTCGTATCAACTACTTAGATATATCTCACAACCAGATTTGTGGAAAGTTGCCCAAGTTTCAAGAATCTAATGCTACTACCCATAGCCGGTATCTATATTTGAATTCCAACAAGTTTGAGGGCCCCTTAACACCATTTCTGTCAGGTGTCGAGGAATTAGATTTGTCCGACAACTTACTTTCAGGAAATTTTCCTCTCGTTGATGATAATATTGATATCACTTTTGTAGTTCTTCGTCTCTCAAATAACAATTTGACTGGTGATATTCCAAAGTACATATGCAAGATGATGGCTCTGCGAGTACTTGATCTCTCGAAAAATAAAATATCAGGAACACTCCCTTGGTGCATGGGGGACTTGGATCGACTGATAGTGCTTGATATGACGAATAACAATCTCAATGGTCATATTCCAAGTTCTTTGGGTTCTTTACAATATCTCTATTCTTTACATTTGCGGAACAACATGTTTCACGGGAAGATCCCTTCAACTTTGCAGAATTTGGCATCTCTTAATATTCTCGATCTAAGTGATAATGAATTAACTGATATTATCCCTTCATGGATTGGAGAAATGTCTTCTCTACAATTTCTCACTCTTCGATCGAATAAGTTCCATGGTTATATTTCTCCACAACTCTGCCACCTCTCTACTCTTCAAGTGTTAGACCTGTCACATAACTATATAAGTGGAAGTATTCCTCGCTGCTTTGCCAACTTCACTGCCATGGTCGCGAATCTCAATGCGGAACTTACAGAGATTCGGTATCCACAATACACAGAGAAAATGTTAAATATCATTAAAGGAGTTGAACTTGAATACACTAGCACACTCCGATTTCTCACATCTATAGATGTTTCAAACAATCACATAGTTGGAGAGATTCCTGAAGAGTTGATGGATCTTATTGGGTTGCTGAGTTTCAATGCATCCAAAAATCATCTAAATGGAAGCATCCCAGAGAAGATTGGAAATATGAAAGCTTTGGAATCACTTGATTTGTCAAGAAACAAACTTTCTGGTTCAATCCCTCCAAGCTTGTCCGATATGAACTTTTTAAGCTACTTGAACTTGTCGTTTAACAACTTGTCAGGACGAATACCAACAGGAAATCAACTCCAAACACTCAATGATCCATCCATCTATATGGGCAACAATCAACTTTGTGGACCACAAATCTCCAAGAGTTGCCCTAGTGATACTTCGTCTGATGGTCATCATCATGATCAACATGTTCTTGAGTCGGAAGAACGTCTAGCATTCTATACTGCCATTGGACCGGGTTTCTTGGTTGGCTTCTTGGGAATTTGTGGCATTCTGCATTTCAAAAAGTCTTGGAGGTATGCATGGTTTCAGTTTGTGGAGAATACTTGCAACAACCTACTGGTGGCAGTTGCACTGAAGGCAACTTGGGTGCAGAGAAAGTAACACAAAGATGAAATGGGAGGATAATTTCCTCTCTAAAATGGTTAGTCTCTCTCTCTATATCTCTCCAAACACATATAGAGACACACACCCACACGCATATATGTCTATATATATATTTATATATTTATCACACGAATACACCCACGCACATATCTAGTTTAAACAATGAACTATGTATTTTCTTTGGTTTTTGTCTATATGAAACTTTTGAGATATTCTCTTATTTCAAATTGGAAATGGAAATTTATTATACCAATATTCTTAAGCGTAGTGCTTGACCTATGCATGGTTTTCTCAATTATAATCAGATCATCGAGAATATATAACCAATTACCATTCATTCTTAGCATAATTTGATAATAACAAATAATTTAATTATTTCTTCTTTATGTCAGTTTTAATGTTTTTTTTTTTTTTTTTAAATGAAGCTACCCAAGGAAGTAACATATATGAACTAAAAGACATCAAATGTGTATAGATGACCTTAATTAAGTAACTTTATTGCATTTTAATGTACATAAAAAAACCAATATTGCATCTACTAGCATTTTCTGCCATATAATTGTTTGTAGTTCTCTTCATCACAGGGGCTCAAATTCATTTTTTTTCTCCTTTTCCTTTTCGCCACAAGGTTTTAAATTCAGTTGAAGTAGATGAGATTCAGATGGAAGCAGACAAGTGAGTGGTGGGCTTTTCGTAAGATGGAAAAGGATCACTACTACAATAAAGTTCAGAAAAATAAAGTTAGACAATGATATATTTTTGGTAATTTGTTATAATGTTAGTGTGATAATTGTGTACTCTCCTAAAACATATATTGTCGTCTTGATTCAATATCTATATTCTGCCATTATTAGACTCCTTGGAGGCTTATACACATGTATATGTATGTATATGTACAAGATAGCTATGGTATATGATACATCATGTCAGTTTCCAAGTCCGTCCAGGATTATAATATTGTTGAAAGTCAGCAAGTCTCAAACCATGCATGGTGGATATATTTTATATTTGCTTAAATCAAGGCTTGAACTCAAAACCTCAACAATGAATTATAATTGGTTTTCTTTTATTATATATGCTACCAAATATAAACTATTTTGTCTCTCTTTATAAATCTAGTTTAATAATTCTCATGTGATCATTTAGAAGAATTAATCTTATTATTTTCTATTTACCCTATATCATTAGAAAATTTCCTCACGTTATCTTTAAAAACGGAAGATACGCACCATGTCAAAGTGGATTGTGTTGTTTGCTTCATATAATAGATTTAAAGGAGCGCCTCTATAACGCTCGCCTCTGAAAATTGCAAACAAAAGCCTGGCAAAGGCACTTGTGTAAGGGCATGATCTCATTTTCCTTGGAAAATATTTTTTGACCATGGCTCTGGATTTAAAGTTTTTGCTTGCAGTTATCGCTCAACAGTCGAGTAAGAAAATAAAAATTCTCAAATGGATTTCTCAGCTACTATTATAGATTTTCAACAAACCACACCCAATTAAATACTATTATTCACTACTGGTCCCACCTACACAAGGTTGCTAGAGAGCTGAACTGGACACAGATCTAATCTTTAGGTCTATTTTGCACTAAGCGTCAGCTCTCAAAGTCAAACCAGTGTGAGGACGCGCAGACACGAAAATTTATTATAAAAATAAAAATAACAACAACAAAGACTTGTCAACATATCCACAAATTAGCCTGCGCCTTTGGGAGTACCCCCTTTCAAGTCTCACCGAAGGTAAGGACCATGCACGTGGTTTACGGAAGATTGCGTGCATCTGGAGTTTGCAAACCATCCAAAAGACCAAAGTGGCTATCAGATGGGTTGATTCTTTGTTATCCAAAATATATGTGTGTATATATATATATATTTATATCCACAAATTCATGTACCTAAAGTCATCTTAGAAATTGCACAACTTAGAAAATGAAGTTCACAAACTTCTTCTAGACTTCTACATAATTATACAATGAATGCTGTACCATTAACTTATTATGATCTTAACATGTGAAGAGCATGTGATGCATAATACTCTAATAAGAATGTTGCCATATTGCATCTAGTTTGTCGTAAACATGCATTTTAGTCTTTATATAGTGTATTTAAAAATGATAGCAGCAATATGTCCTCAACATACAAGGATAATTCTCCATAAATTAATTGTTTGCATAAACTTGATGGTTGCATTTGGACTTGCATGAACAAGGTGGCATACATTTTCCTTGTATATATACACACTTACATTTTCCATAGAGAAACTTGTTTTATAAAAAGCCAAAGACATGCACAAGAGATCATCAAAGTACAGCAAGCATATGTTTTTAAAACCAAAAGTGGAAGAAATTTTCAACATATGGCGATGAAAATAAAAAGGAGCATATTTGATGCAAGTATTAAGGGTCAAGGAAACATAGATATCATGTCAGCAAATTAGAAACCAAAGAGAACCCCGATGCATAGACTAAAATTGGAAAAAAAAAAAAAAAAAAAAAAAAAAAAGAAAAAGAAAAAAAAAAGAGAGAGGGGAGGTAAAAAGGAAGGGGGGGGGGGGGGACTTAAAACAATAAACAAAATGCATCATTCAAGATGAAAAATGAAATAATAATACTAATAAAGCAAATTCGCAACAAAATTGATATCCTGAAGGGTCAATATAAGACAAATCATTGCAGTACAAGTGATACAGGTACAAGTATGCATGTAGGCACTACTGCTTCTATATAATATATACAGGATAAAAGAAGACAAACCTTCCTATGAGTAGCTGAGAACTGTTCGTGGGACCCTTGGTATTCCCAAATCGCTTGGCCCTGTTTTCATGTTCTTTCTCCACGCGCATCGCAGCTACCTCCTTCTCCATGGCAGCTACTTCCCTTCTCATCTTCTTGGCCTCAACCTCCATTGCCTTTGTCAAAGTATCTACCTTCTTCGCTAACATCTTAAAAACAAGATTCATAATCAAACATTTAATTTTTTTTTTTTTTTTTGATAAGTCAAAACATTTAATATTTATTATCAAACATTTAAGATTCACAATCAAACATTTAACCAAATAAGCCAAGAAATCAACCTCAATAGCATCATCCTTGTCTTTGAGGCTTTGATCCTTCTCATGACCAGCTTTCCTCAGCAAGATCACCTCTTTTTGTAGCAAGTCATATATTAACGCTGGAACAGTATCTTCTGCATCCACTGTTGAAAATTCATTGGGTTTTTCATCTGGACTACCTTTCCAGGTTGTATTTACCTCACTGTCCTTCATTCCCTCACATGACAGGCTGTCATTGAAATTAGAAGCCACCCCATTTAAGAGAACTTTACCCGTGTCTAATGAGCGTGTGCCGCCATCAAATGACTTTGACGTCCCTTTCGCATGCTTCAATACTGAATTAGTGCCAGAAGACGGAGAAGATCTCAACTGGAAGGATGGTGATCTCTTAGGTAAAAAGCCATTGGAGGTCAATTTGGAGATGTTATCAGCTCCACCCAGGGATTGGCGACGACCGTTGCTTACACTTCTTCCTTCTAACATACTCCGGCAGTTATTGCTCGATGATCTCAAAGTCTCTTCTAGTACTTTGAGCCGCAGTTGGTATTTTTCCTGGAAGGTGAAACAGAAAAATTATTACATTAAACCAGGCTAGAAGACATCATTATACAGCTCAGCTATAGAACCAAATAATTACTTTCAATTGTGCTTCGGATTTCGCAGTTCGCTCAGCTACAGAGAGCTTGTCCCGGAGTTGCTGCATCTCTCCCTGCAACAGCAGGTATTGGTTACATTTAATAACTTCTGAAGTAAGAGAACCCAAACCTAAACAGTTTTGCTGAAAAACAAAACAAATTCAAAAGTTTCAAATGAGAATTGATTAGAAACTAGCATATACCTGCAAGAACCTTCTTTCTTCAAGCCACTGTTTTACAGGCATCACTTTATCATTAGCATCTTTCCATTTATTAGCTACCACTACAGCTACCCTGTTTGCTGTTACTTTTGCACGAGCCAGCTCCAAACCATAGGAAATAGAGGAGGGGATCATGCTCATTAGGGGAATAACAAATTATCAAAGCAAATTCAACAAAATCCTCATATGCAGTGCCATGCAATGCAATGCCAATGAGATGGAATGTCGTTCCCCATTTCTAAAACCTTTTCCAATCACAACCATTTCCAAACCGTTAATGTAACCCGGCCTATGGCAACTTCATGGCACCACGAGAGAAGGATTGGATAACTATTCCTGACCCATGGCATTTCCATGACGTCATTTGGGTCCTAAGTAACTCAACCACGCTAGGACAATTTTCCTAGTTCCCTCTATGTCCCATTCACGCCATGGACTAGGCAATTCCTAGACGATCGGTTTTCGCAAACAACTTTCCAAATCCTTTCCTTTCAAAGCCATTTCCCCAAAAACAAGTTTTCTTTTCTTTTCAAAACCTTTGTCCCTTTTTCCTTCCCAATGCCATGCATGAATGTTACATGCATTTCAATGCTATGAAATCCAATAGATTCAATCCACCATCACATAACATGCTTGGGAAAATAATTAACACAACATATATCATGCCTTCAATTCATTAACTATAACAATTTACGCATTTAGCCAATAGGCAATGTCAATTTAACCAACTATTCCACAATTACTCATATAGGCACGTATTATAACACATTGACGACATGTAGAACATTTATATCATCAACTATACAACTATATAGAGCATTGCGCTAAAAAAAAAAGAGAGAAAATGGTTCAATGACATGACACTATGGTCCACCGTGGATGACTCAACATGAAATGATGCCACAGAGACACTTAGCATGCAGAATAGTGCAAAAAACACCTTAGCATAAACAAGTAAGCACGTAAGCAAATAAACAATTAAGCATGCTTCTTCAAATAATAGAACACATAGCAAACAATCCATAATCGACACAAACAACTTCCCATGCAACCCTATGTAGGCCTCTACCCGTCATCCTAGTGGTTTTCAAACCATTGCTCTGATACCAATTTTGTAATGACCCAAACTCGTAGGTCCGAATCATTAACCGGGTCCTTGCCCGAACCCGAGGTCAATAAAGGACAACATAATCATTTTCTAGGTCAATATTTGATACATGAGTAGGTCCAGGAGTCCAAAAACATCCCAAGAACACTGTACTACAGGATGAGCTAGTGTACAGGTCCAAAAGGAACAGTCAGCCGGCTGATGGCCTTAGGTCGACCGGCTGAAACGATTGTGAAACTTGCATGCTCTCGGGACTGCTACAGTACAAGCGTCGGTTAGTTGACGAAGGGGGTTCGGTCGGCCGAACCTGGGGTTAGGGTTAACCGGCCGAAACAAGGCCCCTGAACCCTGAACTCACTGGAAAAGCATTCTGGATGTGCTCTCTATAGGCTGAACCTATATTGGACCTGTCTTGCAACCCATTTCCGAATTCACGGCAACAATATGAGTTATAATATAATTGAATGGCGTCCGTGAAATGGTTGGAAATACACTTCATTTACCATTCATCACGAAATATTTACATAGTCTCATTACATTTCAAATTACCATCAAGTGTTCTAATTACAATACATGGCCATGACTTCCAAGATGAAAACACTTTACAAGAGTATGAGACTTTACAAAATAATGGCAATTACACAAAAGATAACAAAAGTGAATTTCTATTCCTCCTTAAGCTTATGGGGGATTGTCATTCATCACTTCCTTCCCGAGCCTTAAAAAAATGTTAAATGATAGGGTGAGCATAAAGCTCAGTAGGTGGTGCCTAAGACACACCTCTTGAAGCCCCATGAATCCAAACAATGAATAGGACAATAGAGAACGGAGTCATGCTAAATGGGGGAAAATGCAATATCAATTCCAACTTTCAAACAAGCAAATGTTGTACCATGAATGCAATGTCATGCATGTCATTCCCCATTTTCAGAAAATATCCATCACTTCACAAACTGTTAATATAATCCATCCTTTGGTGACTCTGCAGCGACACGAGAGAAGGGTTGGCTATTGTCCCTGACCCTTGGTACCTCCGCGGCTTCATTTGGGGCCCAGCTAGCTCAACCACGCTAGGGTAATTCACCTAGTTCTCTCTAGGTTACATTAACACACTGGCCCTTTGGTGACTCCGCAGCGACCGGGTTTTTTTCTCAAAATCGTTTTATCAAAATTCTCCCCAAAATCCATTTTTCACGCTTTTCAAATCACTTTACCCTTTTTCATGCCCAATGCTTGAATTTATAACACATGCCTTTTTAATACTATGGGAATGGGGAAAATTATTATTACACAATTAACATTCTTCCTCATAAAAATTTCTAACAAGTTAATAAGCATCAAAGGCATGGAAAATTAACAAATTAAGTATGCTCTTTCATACAATTCAATTAAATACACATACTCACATACTTCCTATACACAATCAAGTCAATTTAAAGAGCAATCAACACAATTTAACATGCTAGGATACTGATCAAGTAAGATTAATTCATAAAGGTGCAAGATTGTAGGAATTAGAGACCCCTACCTCAAGATTATGCAAATCCCCCAAATTAATGCCCTAGATCTCGAATTTCTGTAACGACCCTAAACTGTTACCATTTAAAAAATAAAAAAAAATTCTGCATGACCTCCCCTAAAAAATGGGCCTACCACAACCTGTTTAAAAGAATTTTAAACCTGTTTTGTGATACCCCTCGGATCCGAGACACGGGTTGATCAGGCCCAGGCCCAAACCCGAGGGAATATCAAACAATTAATATTTTATAATGAACACGGAATACAAAATAAATTAAGAAATGAAATTAAAGCTGGAAGGAACTAAAAATAGAATCCGCAAAATATTATAATTATTAAAATCCATCAAACCCAAACTCCAAAACTCCATCAATTTATCACTTGGGAATCCATCTCTAGTGGACCCCTATTAAACATCCAAACGGAAGATAGAACAAATGTAATAAACGTCCAGAAATAAAACTATAGAGAGAGCCCTACATCGTCGGAAGAGTGAATAGAGACCTCTGCTCAGCACGAACACGTCTAAGCCTGGAACTGTCGTGTTCCTGAAAAATAGAAGTGGGTCAGGCCCAGGCGCAAGACTACAATCCAAACAGAGGCCCGATACGCATGTACATCCTAAACAATTCAACAATAGCTAATAGGCCGTAAATATATATATATAGTCACACTAAAGGACTCTCACTGGACTACAGGCCGGTCTCAACCTGAATAGAGGTAACATGCTAAAACGCACACGAAGTGGGCATATGTACCTATACCTAAACAGGGTACACCTCCAACTATCGTAGCCAGCTACACATCCCGATGCATATACGCTCCCTAGCCATCGGTCCTGAGGCTCAAGCTCATACCGAGGCACCATAACAGTACATATATAAAATCCATTCAAAATCCCTGGTACTGCCGCTCAACAAGTAGTTGCCATGACAATACAAATCCACGGGACTTAACTTTTAGTTAATCCCATCCTTATTCCAAGTAGGTGGGTAATGGTTTTGTTTTAAAAACCAAACCCATCCTTAGTATGCCACCGTCCCATACCGGTGCCTACTTTCCAATCCTCCAGTAGTCAGTAATACCAATAAATCAAGTATATATCAACTAAATTCCAACATCCAACATTCAATGTTAGCAGTGATAAAACAAGCATTGATAAACAGGGTCACAACAACAACATATACATGCCCAATTTAAGTTGTTCACTTTAGTCTGATATAAAGACAGAATTAATTAAAACTTCCATTTAACACCTTACAAATGACATATAGATATGTAGGGTATGTATCACAAAATCCTAATCTCCACAGTTGATACTAACTGTGATAATGTAAGCATCAAAACAATATTCACAGTATGTATGTAGACATGCTCAAATTATAGTGTTCCACAAAACCGATCTAGTGTTAAACTCAAATCCTCCTAGTATTTAAGTTCCAACAGTTGCTATTACAGAAGGTAAGATAGCTATCATCTAGACACATCCTTCCAATAATTTATACTAGCAATGGTAAGGAAAAACGTGAACCACAGAACCACAATGCATCCACAAACATGTTTAGTCTAGGTTGAACAAGCATACAACACTACTGTAACTACCAGTTTCATAGCAAAACAAATATCATTTTAGTTTGGTTTAATCTTCATTAATCCTGAAATCATTTAAGAGTGCAAAGAGTATGAAGCCTAAGGGAAAGAGTAAGGATAGAATCTTACCTCAGAAACTTTTGTTCAAAGTTTCAACGTCGTCTTCTTAAAAAAAATCCCGGCGAGTTCCAAAACCCGGTTACTGTTCACGGGTACGAAACACTATTCCCGAACTCAAAATCTGATCTCCACCGTTCAGATTGTGGGACACTGAGTCATGAACCTATCCTCCAAATTTCAGCTCGATCGGACCACGAACATAGCAGGATCGGATGTTTGATGAAATCTGGGCAAAATGGAAAAAAAAAACCTGTGCGACCCGATTACTGTTCATGAGTACGAATCACTGTTCCTGAGGTCAAACTCTGATCTCCACCGTTCAGATTGTGCGTCACTGAGTCGTGAACCTCTCCTCCAAATTTCAGCTCGATCGGACCACGGACGAAGCGGGATCGGAGCTTTGATCAAACCTTGGCAGAATGTGAAAAACTGCGTTTTTCCTTCTCCACTTCCACAAAACGTGTGCTTTATTTAAAAAAACCCTACACAGACGTCTACCTTATACTTATAGAGTTTTCCTAAACCCTAGGTTCATTTAAGTCCAACTCACAATCCTAACCGGCCCATCCAATTAACGTAGAAATCTACGATGGTTATAATATAAAACCCAAATTTATACTGTAATTAAAACCCTAGTTAGATGTATTTACCTAATTACCCTATTTACCATTAAATACTTAACAAATAATCTAATTGAACAAAATAATAATTAGTAAACCCAATTAAACCAAATAAGACACACATAAAATAAGACACACATAGAATAATTAAACCAATTACACTTAAACCATTAATGCCAATTAAA